ATATCAGTGAAAAGGGTCATTTCATTATTTATTCCGGTTTAATGGAAGTAATTTCTAAGTTCAAAGTGGTATTTTTGACGAGTAAATTACCTGCAGATATCAACTAAGATATAAAATGTAATAGTAAGCAACACAATAATGTAACGGCCTAAAGTGTCATACTTCGCATCAGCATGAGTGGGAAGATATTTAAATGAGTGCGCATGATCTGAAAGAAGCCAAAATATAAATACAGACTCGTAAGATGTTTCAGGATTTTCAAGACGATTAACATTGAATGGATTGTAATTGTGATCGATTTCGAGATATGTTTACGAGTTTTTGCCGCAGAATGTTGCTAACACCTCGAAGATCTCAACTAGCTGTTCTTAGCTTCTCTAAAGAGTTGAGAACAGTGTACGTACAACTAATGGATTAGTGTCATATCTTAGTTTTCTTTCACGTGAAGCTTTGCTTCATTGGCTTAGGCACTGGACTGTCAACCAGGTCCAAACCTCACTTTGTCATCTACCGAGGTCTTGGCAACCAGTCAATGTCATTAGTATACACTAGGTATGGCTCATTTTGTATATCACAAACGTGCACGTGTTTTTTGAGTTACATTTCGTTACATCGTTAACCCAATAAAGCTAACATTACGCACTAAGGTAGCCTGTTAAATCTAACACATATTGCAGGCATTCCATTTCAACTGAATTGCTTTCCTTGTCCAACGTTCTACACCTGAGCCCAACATTCATCTCTGCCGTTTCACTTTATGGGAGGAGTGCAACGCTGATACAAGACGAAAAACTTATACCACCGGCCTTCAACAGTCATGCTTCATGACCACAGATTAAGAAAAAGTGGTCCAAGATGCTGTTAAATGTGTTTTCAATGCAGTAGTTGATATAAATTTATGAATGTGGGTCGAGGCTTTTGTATTTCAATAGAGGTATCATCAAATAATCCCGTTTTGGTCTATGTAACTTTCAAAAAAAAACTGTTTGGTCAAAGCTTAATAAGATAACATACGAGTTTGTATTTATAAAATGCAACATATTGTAATCAGATTTCCGAATTAGGATATCGAAATACATTGTAGTTGGATTTTAAGAGAATAACAACATGCAAAGCAACACATTTATCAAGGACCTTAGAGGATGTAGCACTATATTATTCAAAGTTGCCACTGATAATTAAGCCAACCAATCAGTTTCCAGCGGGTTTTTCTGCGTGATTAGGTTGATGACTAGAAATATATTCCCAGCATGTTTTTCTTTACTAGAATAACCCTCGTATGCTACTTATTGTCTCTATCCTTCTCATCATTGATTCATTGAGATTCAGGTCAATAATGTCGTCGATTTTCTCTTCGCTTTTGCTTTTTCTTCGAGGACCATAACATTTTTTGGTTTGAATAAAGCTGTCTCTTCTTTTTGTGATTTTTGTCTTCGAATACTGAACATGCAGAAGCGAGAAAACAAGCATTGAAATAACTACTTTTAGAAGTTGGATAGAGACTGCTTTCTTGGTAATCCCTGATTACTGAAAAAGCATTTTCCCAGTGTCTTTCCAGTATTTTTTTTATTGGAGTTATTTTGTTTGCTGCCCGTTAAGTGTTAGAGGTACTAGGTAAGGAATGCAGTGGTATATGATTTCTGGTTAGTTTGATATGCCATACAGTTATATATTATACGGTTATACATTATTAGTTACTGTATTACATTTGGGACATTTTATTGTTCGAAAATCATATCAGACAACGGACGGATTTGTAAACCTAGTTTATATAATACTAGGGTTTTGAATACTGTAAATAAATCATTGATGTAACTCATCAGGTTCGTGCACTTGGCAATGAGCCGCACCTATGGCGTCAAGGCTAGTGGTTCATGCTTGGTTGCCTCAAACTGGGTAGACAAAGTGGCATTCGAACGTGTAATCCACTGGTTGAAAGTCAACTGCTTAGACCAGTAAGTCACAGTTGTAGATCAAATAATTTCTTGTTCTTATTATTACAGGTTCCCTATTGTGTATAGATGGAAGACTGAAGGATTATTCATCTTTTGGATAGGTGTATTATTACGAACAACGGTCGCTACTGTTTCGTTATGCTCAAGCTTGTTTACCATAGTGACACATCCTGAACCGTAATGGATGGAACTCTAGTTTGTGGAATGCTTTATCGTGCCAGCTAGTTTTTTGGGGAAGAAAGAAACCAAAAGATACTTGTCTCATATACTCAGGAAAAGTCGTTATGTTTGTTTAGTTGGAGTGCATCAGCAGTTGTGTTTTTTTTGCCAAGCAAACAAGCGTTCTCAACATTGCTGCTACCTCCTTGTTGCTAAAAAGAACGGGTAAAAAAATTGAACTTAAGATTAACACTTTGTCTCGTTGTTTGGAGTCCTGATATTCAAAATGACACATCCTGAAGTACGGAGCGAACCTAATTAAGCACAAACCAAATGCACTCATAAGACAGTATATGGCGGAACTGAAGCGGATGTCTTTTAGGCCTTCAGGTGGATATAGCTTCCAATACCAGTCTCCGTTGCATTTCAGGTAATTTGACAATGGGTGTGGGTAGCAGTAAAGCGCTCGTCACTAGCTATGCCGTAGTATTAGTCCTTGGAGTCAATGCCACTCCCATTAGACATAAGGACATAAAAATACGTTTATGAAGGAACTGTCCGTATAACCATTAGAATGAACTAATATCAATCATTACGATGTATAGTATGTAAACATCCTCTATCCATTTTAAAAACTTGTAGAGACTTCAGGTGATGCTTAGAATAGAGAGAAAAGCAGTCTTAAGTTTATCAGTAGAACGTAAAGATTAGGCATTAACTTGTCTGAATGCCTTTTGTTTTTAATCGTTCTATAATAAAAGAGGGCAGTTTTCTTGTGATGACTGAAGAAGAACTATATGATTCTAAAATCTATCTGTTATCATGTGATCCGTAACTGGAAGCAGCTTTCAAGTTCGTTAGTTGGAGCATAAGCAGTATGGTTCGGAACCCATTCTAGTGGTATATTCACACCTTGTCTTCATCTTGAAAATCTTACTGCTTATCGTTTTAGTCATTATACTACCTTTCTTTTTGTCTAATCATTTTGTTTACAGGATTTAATATTATTTTTACATCTCTCTATGTCCTCTTGTTCACTTCCTAACATGATACACCGGTATGAAACGTGGAAATTCTTGACATTATCAACTATGAAAGTACTTAATACATGGACTACAAAAACAGCAGGAAATTGGTCAGTTCGAGGCTAATTTCTTCAGCAACACATTCTGATTTGATGTCTTTGAAAACATTTACAATTTGGATTGTAAATATTCTGATGACTTTATTGCTGTCCACGCTTGAAGTGGCCGCAGTACTGAAGATGAAGCCCTAGTCGATATCGTAGCTTATATCTGATGGGACGCAAGCCCAAAAAATTAAGAAGCTACCGTAAAATTGTTATTTACAATAGTTCTCCAGATCATATTGATCCATTACTTATCTTTAAATAATTACTCGTGTTCTATTCATTTCCATAATCTCGATGTGAACATTTCAGTTAGATACATCACAGCGAATTAATCTCAGTTAATGTGCGTAAATGGTTTTATAGAATCCCTTGCACTTTTTTTCACGAATGTAACTGTCATTAAAACCTGCGCATGACATCGCTAAGTAAAACGATTATATTGTTTCAAGTTGTTATTCATCGTAGACTGACATCAGTTGGAGAAACAAAGGGAACTTGGGAGCACTGGACAGCTGTCTCGTCCTAGTATGGGGCTACTCAGTAGTGCGCACCCACGACCCCGCCAGGGATCGAACCCGCGACCTTCAGGTTCTGCGGCCAGCGCGTTACCACTGAGCCACTGGGTCAGAATCCAATGGTCCATATTTCCAACTTCTGTTAGCTCACGATATAGCGCAACCGCCACCCAATGTCATCGTTAAGTAACTATCCTCACAACCATCAGGCTTTGACTCCACCGGTTACGACTTGAAATATTTCCAAAACTCCACAACCCCCTCAAAATTCAATTATATTGTTGTCCGCTTGGTGGCTAGCAGAGGGATGCAAGATACGCGTTTCCTCCTATTTGGGACTGACTCGTCAGGTGGGTGTACCTGCACCCCGGTGAGTGATGTTGTTCCTATTGAGACTGGAACCCAGTACCCATCGCTTCAAACTCCAAGGCGTTATTCACTAGGCTACTAGAGCACGGGACCTACATCTTGTACAACGGGTATCAGTTGTTTTGTTACTTGTAATTTCCTGTTGATATACAGAGTCGAATTGCTCGACCTTTGGTTGTGCTTGTACATCCAGCTTATGAGTGAGTCCGTAATAGGACGAAACGCGCATTCTGGATCCCACTGCTAGCCACCAAACAGACTACAACATAATGAGTAATCGGACGGTATCAAAGCATCCGCATAAGGAGCCCATCTTCTAACAGAGATCGAGCAATTCGACTCAGTATAGCAATGGGATATTACAAGTATCAAACAAAAACTAAAGTGATTATGTTTTATATAGTCATTGGATGAATCCAGTCATCCTATAGCATTAAAACTGACATTCATTTAACTAACTGGCTCTACTTGCTTTTCTTGCTAAATGTGCATAAAGCATAGATGAAAGGATATTATTTTCATCCGATCTTCTATCTTTACATTGGCAATATAATCGAAGGTAATTATCAATTTTGCGTTTCCTAACCCAATTCTATCTATTCTTTCATTGGTTTTGTTGTGGATAAGTTATGTTTTAGTAGCAGAATAACACAATTTTAGGTGATGCAGGAGTATTGCAGCAAACATATTCTTTTGAAGGTAATCAGTAGTAGCCGATAAAGAAACATGTTCTTTTTTCATCCGTGTTGGTTATATAACTTGTTAAAATGAAATTCTTGAGATATTGGCTTATTTCTTTGTGAATGAGGGTATAAACACTAAGTTTGCTTAACTTCATTTTTTTCGTCTGTCGATTTACTTTTCCCTTAGACGCATTTCAAGACAGATATTTACGAGGACGATGAAAATCTTCAAAATGGTCCAACTAAAATTCGAGATGTGGTCAGAGCAACTGACTTCAAATTTATAAAAGTACTGGGCAAAGGAAGTTTTGGAAAGGTAATGATCAGATTTTTTTATGTTTCTTATGTCACTGTTCTTTTTTACCCTTGAGTATTATATAAATATTCATCTGTTGATCTGACGTAAAGAATGACGTGTTTATTATTCAGTTGGTGGGGATGGATTTCAAGTTTGTTATCATCATCTATGGAAAGTATTGAAGTTGATAAAAACGCAACCTTACATTTACTGGTAGAAACTTATTGGCTAGCTGCTAACCTCCATATATATATATATATATATATATATATATATATATATATATATATATATATATATATATATATATATATATATATATATAACTACTCAGTCATATGTTTGCATAAAGCTGACTGTCTTAATTCATGAATAGTCTTGTTCCGGTCTTTGAGTTGAAATTATTGCTAAATACACAGTCAAAGTCGTCGGCAGTGTGGTCTTTTAAACCCATTCAGTTGGACAGTAAATTATTCACTGGTTGGTTTGAGGTAAATCAGTATTGTCAATCTCCCGCATTAAAATGTCCAGTTTAACCTGCCGATCTATTAGTTATTAGTTATTCATTCACAAGTTACTGTTATAACAAAACCGTTGTAAAGTAAGGAGCGTTGGACAAATATTTCGTCCCAGTTTGCTTTCCCTTAGCAGTAGTAACGCACCACTTTATGTGAGATAAGGTATACGTGAAAATCTTGAGTTTTTGTTCTCATTGTAAATCCACGAATGTTGATGAAAATGTTTTCGTGTTAATATAGGATCATTGTGGTAGATTGTAGTTCTTTTTTCGTCTGTTCATCAGAATTGTCATATAGTGGAGCTGTATTATTTACTGGATAAGGTTTCGAGCATAACTTATTGTCCGTACTTGAAAAAAGCAGAAAATCTACAGTGTTATTGATCTGAATTTTGGTGGATCAAACACTGTAAGGAAGAATAGAGACATAAATAGCAAACGAAGGTTTATCTAGTAAAGAAAAATATACAAAAGTATATTCTGTGTCATCGACCTGATGCCGTTGTTCATGGCTTGGAAATGTGTTACGCATGTCGTTTCAGCGGCTTCCAAACTGTTCACCGTTCACTTGCTCTGGGATTGGTTGATAGGAGTAGGGTGGTGACGAGCTAATGACGCATCTCCATGTGGTGAAGGATAATTGTGTTGGGTTAGCATCCATAGGTGCCTCATAACTCCGTGGATAGGGTCCAAAAGATCATACTTTTCTACTGGCTTGAGATAATACCTTGCTCAGAGTCGAAACCAGTGGCGATCATGCTGCAGTTTTTTTCTTTCTTCCATTACTGAAAAGTAAAACGAATGTAGTGAATGCTTCTTTGGAAGTATCTTTGAAAATTTCTTTATTAGCTAATTTTTATAATCCCTTTACGTTATGTCTCTATTCTCTCTTCCGTTTTATGTGTTTTCATATTATTGTCTCCTTATTTTGCATGGAACATCTCTTGGAGCCCATGTTGTACCAAGTTTGTGATCTGATAATAGTAACGATAATAATAATAATGCAGTAGAAATGATTCTGTATCTGTCCCAGATATATAGAAAATTCTACTACCCTTGTCACAAAAAAGGAGAGAAAACTAGAACTATATAAACTGTCTCGAAGTTGTGGAGTTACCTGATATGAATATGGACAATAGATTGTGTCCGAAAATTATCTAGTAAATGATACTGTTTCACTGTGTGACATTTTTAATAAACAGACTAAATGAAAATACAGTCTACCACAATACTCGAGTTTTACTCCTATAATAATACATACGACTTATGGAACAGGCTAGTCACATATATTCCATACTTAATTCCTCGGGTGATTCTACTTTTGTTGCCTTAGATTCACGCTTGTGTTATTGGTCTGTAACACTGTGGTAAATCACTTCATGTCAGTGTATTACGTAATCTACATATTGTACTTTAAATCTTACTTTACCTAATGTGTTTTTCACGACTAGATAGTATTATTACTGGTTCTGTACTGATGAATTGGAATTGAAGGTTTTATCATAGAATTATTGAGTTACATACATCTTTCATAGTTTTTCGTTTCTCAGAATTTTCTGTTTGGTTTATGCATTTCCATCAAATTCATTATCTTGATTAAATATTCTGCCATTTGTTAACGGATATTAATATGATTAGATATCACGTTTATTAATTATCTTTATTCAATTCAATATGTGAATTCTCTTTGTCATATGTTTTTTCTGTTTATTGTTTTTTTCCCCGCGAATATAATGTTTTAGCTAAATTGTAAATATCCAGTCCATGGTCGTTATTTGCATTATTTGAGGTGTGAAGATCATGCTATCTTAGTGACAATAAACTAATAAATCTAATCTGAATGTTTAAAAACCAAACGGTGTTTCTTTTCCGTCTTGTTTCTCTGTTGGATTCGGCTGTCAGACCAACTATATAAAACTACACATCTTGTCAATCAAGAACACATAATCATTATTCGTCCAAATTATTTTATTTCATCTCTTTATGTTTTATTATTCGTTTTACACATGCACTCATTTCAAAATTTTGAGGCTAGTTTACAAATCTAACCTGTTAAACTCAACCATGGAATAATTCTGTGTACTTCAGTAGTCAAAGTAATACTTTTAAAATCTTTTCACAATTGTGTTCAATGTAAATGTCGACGAAATCAATGGTAAACACTATGCTATAGTCAGATGAAGGAAACACTTGAAAATTAATAATGGGAGAAGTAGATAATGTCATCAAAGTAATTGATGAATACTATGATACAGGTAAAGTATAATAGTATTTCAAAAGAAATGCGTTCATGATAACGTTTATAATAATAGCAATGGTTCAAAGCAACATGAGTATTTGATTTATGGCATTAAAAAAAACTTTGGTGGACCTGGTGTTAGCAATGGATGAAATGGCGATAAGAACACATAGGCTGATGATGATAACAGTAGAACATAATTCAGGAGTCATGGATAAAGTGTGATCAGGTTAAACGTTCGACCAAAAAATGATGAGTTTTTGCCAAAGGGTCTGAAGAGAAAACAAAGAAAGAATAAAACTCCGCTAAACTGGTTTACAAATAAACTTTCTAAATCACTTATGCAGTACAGAGTACACTGCACACTTTTATTTGTGTCCGCAGGTTATATTCTGCAACTACTTCTAGTTTAATGATAGGGAGTGAAGTGGTGGAATGTATCGGCTACTTCACTTAGAGATTTACATCAGGCTGAACGGGGTGGTTGCTGAGGAAATCTGAGCTTGTATTGATTGGTCACGGGTGTGCAACCAATTTCATGTTGTCTAGTCCTGAGTGCAGATCGAATTCTATCGATCATATTTGCAATGTGGCAACCAAGCTATGAAGCTCAGCATCGCGGTGCACATTAGTAGATGTTAGTTGGTTGGAGGCAATCGGCAGGAAGCCCTGGACCTAGGTTTCGTGCTTTTTGGCACTCCCGTGACTAATCAATGCATGTAAGCGAGTCCTACATGAGGTCAGTGCGGCCCAAATTGCTCAGTGGTAAAGTCTCTGACTGCAACACTGGGTGACGCGGGTTGGAATCTTGGGTGGGACATGAGTTCCGCCGAGGTTGCAGATACGCCTTGCTGACGAGTGCCAAAAAGCATGAAACCTAAGTGCAGGGCTTCCTGCCGATTGCCTCCAACCAACTAAAATCTGAGCTTGTATAGAATAGGCCCCGTTTGGCATTTTCCAACTTGCTTCATATGTGGCCACGATTGGCGAGGTTTTTGACTGTATCAAAGAACGAGTATATCACACTGCACTCCTTTCTGTTCTGCTTTATGAGTGTGTGACGTCTGTTAAAAGAAGAATACATGAAGCAGTTACAAGATTTTGATCATGGGTGTCCTCGTAGCACTACTCGCGTTTGATGGAGCCACTGTGTGAGCTTCTATGGAGGTCAGGTGGAGGGTATTGGAGGAAATAGGGAATTTGATCAATGAAGTTGTTAACCTTCATCGGTTCAGATAGCTTGAACTTGTCTGGCTCATCCTTAACCACAACCTGTCTCAACATACCATGCAGGGGAAGTTGGAAGATAGTTCAGGGTGGACAAACCAATACGTGGCACCAGTTGGTAAAGTCCCTGACCGATGGTCTGAGCCATGAAGGGAGATGTAGAGTTCCTTATTGGGCTCACTGATACCATCGGAATCAATGCGATGGTTTAGGACCCTTAGTGACATGGCTGGATATCAATCACAATGGTGTAGATGTATTCACTCTTTTACGTCTACTAAAACTTGAATATGCGCACTAACCATTATCTCCAAGTTGTTTATTCTCTCACACAACTTCATCTGGTTTGATATCACTTTTTCCATCCACCTGTCTTTGTATACTACTGTGAAGTTTGACAACTGAAATTGATCCACTTGTGTGCGCGGTTTCAGGTTGATTTTATCTGTCTGTTTGAGTAAAAAAGCAGGTCGTTTTCGCTTCCACATGTATTATTATTATTATTTTTATTCGTTAAGGAAGTTATCAAATAAGCTATGTTTAGGTCTAGTAGGTGGTACGTATCTAGAATGTTAGTTTACAGCAGTGCAAGATAGTTTCTGGATTCTCAGTTTGTTACACGCCTAAAAATTCTTCCAACAATAAATAAATCTATCCATTTTACTCTTATACCTGGTTTTGCAGCTAGCAGCAAGTAATTAAACATAATTGGAAGAAACTAAAGCATATTTCCCCATGTTAAATTCTATTAGCATGTTCATTGTTTTCTACGCAACTACTAACTTGACAGCGGAATAAATTAACGTGATGCCGGTGTTGAGTAAAAATTATTCCACACATATTTCAACTATCCTTTTAAAATAGGACTTAAGTAAGAACTCTTTCTAGATAGAAGTAAACTCATTTAAATAATGATTTTACAAATCAGAATGATTTTGCGTAAACATTTCTTCTTACTTATGTAAGTCGAACTTTCATTCATATTACGCGTATATCATGGTGTATTAGAAATATTTCTACAATATTTATTTTCACAATAAATTCATCTTTGTGAACTGATTTCAGGAGAATTACTTATTCACTCTTTCGAGTACTCCTAGTATTACTCATATTACATCTACTATTAATGGTAAGTAGTTGTTTAATCTGCTATCATTTTTCTTATAGGGGGGGGGGGCGCTGGTTCATACGTAACTTTTTACTTTTAAATATAATATATCAAGTTAATCTTCACTATTAATCATAAAGTTGACAATATCACAACTATCAATTTTCCTCTTTTCTTCTTCATCTTTTATGGTAGCTATCATGCCGAGCTTGATTATTCATTGGTTCTGAGACTTTGGTCATTGTTCTCTCCCTGCTTATTTTTGGTTTTTGTTTTGAACTAGTTAAATCGATAAATACTTCCACTATTGATACTTTTATTTTATCACTACAGTTTGAGTACAGTTATTTATTCTGTATGTATCAGTTAATCTCTGTATACTTACACAAATCTAAAGACGATGGGAAAATAAAGTTGTTGATATTGTGAAGAGGTAGATAGTGTTCGGAAAACTGTATAGACTCGTCCGGAAGAAAATATTTCTTCCACACGATATATTTAACTAACACAGTAGATCAGTATCTACTAATACCATTGCATCAGCTGATAGAATACTGCATCTTTAGACAGATGAAGTCTATGTAAGTGTTTGGCTGCTTTATTTACAATACTCTCATTTTTTTTGTCCTTCCGATGTTCGTAGATTTTGACTTCAGGTGTTACTAAGTGGTTGGCGAATTTAACTTCCAGTCTTTGAGTGACACTTTTGAAGTCTGCATTTTATCCTTTCCTTAGAGAGTTTCGACTGGTATTTACAATTGTTAAGCAGTCCGATCCATGGTATAGCAGATGAATCTGCATACAGTTTATAAATTAAAACCTCGTCATTTTTAAAAAAAGAATTTTGGTTACCCAGATTAGTAGAGAAGAACTAGCCCCATATTCATGAACGTAAATAAAATTGTAAGGACGTGACCGTTGCAATTCGATACTCAAGTTCGCTGACTTACTGAGTATTAATCTGGTATGCTTCCAGGAGGTCTGCTACCCACTAATAAACAGATTATTTCAGTTTAACATCATTCCTCGAAGGTTAGTCTTGACTATACCCTACTAGACTTCGTTTCTTCACTCCGTGTAAACCAGAATTAAATAAGTACCTTACAATTATCTCGTTGGAAGTAGTTTTGGTTGTCAGTTTATGCAACTTGATATGTACGTTAGATATGACTTCTGTCACTTCGTGTCCTACTCATTTCTGTCTTATGATTACAGTTTGTTCATTTCCTAGTATCCTTCTATTCCTCCAAACGGTTCAACTTAGATGCTAACCTTAAAATAGTTAAGATTAAAACTAAGTTTTCGGTACTTATTTTACTATATTCAAAGTTTGTATTGGTGTGGATGTGTGTTTGCAATACCTTTACTGCCTTCTGAGCATGAATTTTTATAGTTTTGAGCCACTCATCGAATTGAGGATAATACGGGTATTAACTGTCCCTTATCCAATGTCCAATTATGTATTGCTAATAATTTACAACTTGATTGTCGATACGTTTTGCAAGACCAAAAAACGCAACACATTTTTAATCAACTGAGCCACTCCGACTAGCTAAATACACAGTATTTTTTGACTTAAACCTCTCGGAGAGAGAAAGATAACAACAATAAGGAATGACTATAGAGAAAGCTTCGAGAAGCTACTAGTGGATAACGTTATGAAATAACTATTACAGGGACGCACTTTTAACGCACTAGGTACAACTCATTCAAATATGGATATTTTGTTTCCCTGTCTCATCAAGATCAACATGGGACCGGGCATTACTGCCTAACAGTCGAAGCTACCACACCTCGTATCAGCACATCAAGTAACAAGGCAATAAAATGGAAGATGAAGAAGGGAAGAAAAACCAGTCAAAAGAAGAAAGTAAGAAACAGGAGGGAAGAATGAGAAAGTGGTGAAATTAAGTATGTCGGTTAAAATGAGGATAACGTGTGTGTGCATCTGCGCCACTGACATCGATTCTTAGCCATATCACCTGGAGTTTCCAGCCACTGGTTTCTCTTGTCTCGCGGACCCCAACCGGCTAGTCTACATCGCCCAGTGGGGCTCACGAACAGCCAAGGACTTCATGCATAGATTCCATGTTTTAGTCTGGCCACCTCGAGCATTTTTCCAGCCTACTTCGACCAACATTGTTTGACGAGATTGACGGTGGCAAGACAGACGTAACGCATGTCCAAGCCATCTACAGTTGAGGAAAGTTCACAACCACATCAACTGCCTCACCTCTCCTAGCTAAATCTATACGTCTGACTTCTTCATTACTCACGTGGTGACACCACGAAACATGGCCAATGCTTCCAGGGCAAGAGTGGTCAAACACCAGAAACCTTGTCATGTATTTTACATTTTATGTCCATGTTTCACATCCATACAGTAGAACAGAACGGACTACAGCACAGTAAACTCAACCCTTAATAGACAAACGGATATCGTGGTGGCGTCACAAATGGCGTAAGTTGGAAAAAGCCAACCGAACTTTTTGTTTCTGTGTAGAAATTTCCATGATCATTGAGCCACCAGAGCTGATCCGACTTCCTTTTCTCTGCTTCATTTCCTGGAAACATATATGCTTACAACTAAACTATGATATTTACAGTATGCATGAGAAGTCTTTAATCTTACGATGACCACCTAAAATCAATAAGAGGTGGATAGGATGTAGATGAGCGATTACCGCCGCCCAGTGGTGGGGATTGAACTTCCACTTTAACGTTTAGATCATTTGAAGCATATAATCGGTTTCGTTACCGTTTTGTACATATTGTATTTTTTTGAATATGAACATTTACTGCCTATAAATTGGAGAGGATATTTTTATCGATTTCACGCCTATTGCAAGTACTGGGAAGAAAACAGACAACAGCTAATGCTTTACTTTTTATAAATATCTTCTGTGATAAAAAAAACCCATCTATTCACAGTTAGTCATACCAGATCCAACTGTGACATCTACTCTCTTGCTCTATCACGCTCTCTGTTTAGCTAAGCTGTTTTATATACACTGCATGATCATTAGTTGATTTTGACATAAACTGTAATATATTTATTAGTCAAAGTGTTTTCTATACTTCTTTACTTCATTTCCAGTTTTCCGTTACTACTACTAATGATAGCGTTAATTAGACTGTCATTTTTCGTTGCCATAAATCATTCGAAGCTGATATCTTGTTTTAACGTATTCAACTGTCTTGTAGGATTAACGATTAGAATATGTTCAAGTTTCTTTGTTTTTGTCTACATATTTCTCATACGTAATGTGCCCACCAGAGCTGTGGCCAACTGATCTAGTTAGTCAACTTTCTATCGCTTGGTCTTAGATGCGAACCTTCCCACCTAACGAGTGTTGTTCACTCTTTGTGACATTAGTTCCCCTCATACCATAGATGTGACTCATTTATCTATCACACGAATGTACACAGGGTTGTTGCTAAGTGGTATGTAATATCCACAGATTTAATGGTGAGAGGAGCCACTAAACGCTTTCTTATTTACAGACTATATCTTTCTAATTTTTATCTCCTTACTTTTTCTGTACAAATAAATTTAGGTTGTGTTAGCTGAACGAAAAGATACGGATGAACTGTATGCGGTGAAAATACTGAAAAAGATGTTGTCCTACAAGATGACGATGTTGAATGTGCAATGATTGAACGTAGAGTATTAGCATTACAACGTAAACCAGCATTTCTTGTTCAGTTACATTCCACTTTTCAAACTATGGTATGTTTTATTTGGTTATTTATCTATTGAGTGTTTCTCTCCAATCTTTCTCAGTCTATCATTGTTGTCAAAATGTAGTTTCATTAGACACTGTTTTGATAATTGACATTAGTCTAACATACTTTTTTCACTATTTCATGTCATTTGAATTTTGCATAAAATGCGTGATTCATACCGATAATAAATTGAGAAGTTACCAGTTTCTGATTGAATTACCTTTACATTTTGAATCAGATGGTTATAAACTATTGTTTAAAATGGTGAATCACATAGAAACTAGGTAGTAGGTTCCAACCATAGGATCACTGATTCGAAGGAAATCCTAGAACTCATTCACTGGATCATGAAAGTACACAAAGTCGTTAAACTGAATTATGCATTCAATTAGCTTTTGGAGTTTTTTATTTTTAAACCACTGCATTTTCTCATGCCTTAATTACCTACCAAAACCTCTTATCTTCCTTTACTTGTTATTAATATTATTGTTACCTTTACTTATCGTATTATCACCACATATCAATTTTCCTTGTTTTCTATAACTGTTTGCACGATACAATAGCCGCTTTACCTTAATTCTCCGTTCAAACGATCATGATCTTCATCACATGATCCAAAGCATTGAACTATTCAAGAATCGATGGGTTTTTAGTGTTATATCCGTAGTTTATTCATCTGTTCTTGCTTTGTAAAACGTTAATTGGACGTTTTGTGATATTTCGATTCAACTAAGAGTATTGCGTAATAGTGGGGAATATTTGTAGCTCGGGTGGATGGTCTTGGTCGTATTGCGTAAGTCTTAGATTAAGAAAATACAAAAGTGACTTTGAGTTTTAAGAATTTCAAGCCAATAAGTCAGAGTATGTGTGCAGATGGTGGTAGCAGGAAAAAGAAGAAATCAACCACAACAAGGTTATTGAAACAAACCACTAAACCCACTTGTGCAGAACTTCTCATGGCTAATTTTATTTTTAACTTCGTGTTGATGGTGCTGTAAGAATTCAAAATGAAAATCTTACGATTAAACCATTCAATTCAGTGCACATAACAACATCGAAATATCTATTCGTTATTTATTATTTTATGCAACCGTGACTGAGTGACGAAATCAAAGTAGAACCTCGGACACATGTCCATTGGCTCAAGTTGCCACACTTCACAGTAGTATACAAAGACAGGTGGATAGAATAAGAGTGATATCAAAGTAGATAAAGAATTGGGAGAGAATGAACAATTTGAAGATTATGGTTAGTGCGCATATTCAAGTTTTGGTAGACGTAAAAGGGTGATTACATCTACACCATTGTGACCGATTTCCAGCCGTGCCACCAAGAGTCCTCAACCATTGATTCCTATGGTATCATGGACCCCAACCAGGCAGTCTACATCTCCCTATACGGCTCATACCACGTATTGGTTTGTCCACCCCAAACTATCTTCCAACTTAATCCAACTTTCTGGAGCATGGGATGTTAAGGTAGACGGCGGTTTGGCATGTGCAGTACGTGTCCAAGCCATCTCAATTGACTAAGGTTCACAATCCCATCTCCAACTGATGAAAACTAGTAGGGTAGTATGAATTCATATTATTCTTCAGTCGCATTACAGCTTTATTAAGGGACGAGAATGTAACACCAATATGTCATTCGATAAGTCACCAGTTTGAAGTCTTGTTCATGAATCATAGACTTCTTAAAATCACATCATAAAAAATCAGATAACTTTCTGAGTCGACCGAATTGGTCGGTAGCTATTCTGACCTTTGAGTAATGAAACATTCATTGCGATTGAAATTATTTTATTCATGTCAATCGAATTTAATGGTAATAGTATACGTGGAAATAGGGGGATACGCTGGACTGCGGAAAAGAACCTAGAGATTCTGGATTTCGCCGATGGCTTGTTCGTGATGTCACACAAACCTGAAGACCTACAGGCGAAAACTAACAAGTTGACAGAAGAGATGAGGCAGCGAAGACGGGACTTCAAGTGAATATAGAGAAGACAGAGGTGATGAAGATACCGCACCAACAACAACAACAAACTCCAGTCACCGTGAACGGGAGAAACTTAAAGGAAGTAACCTCCTTCACTTATCTAGGAAGCACTGTTTCAACTACAGGCAACGGCACAGACGAGGATGTCAAAGTCAGGATGGGAAAAGCAAGACAGGCGTTCATTAACCTGAAACCAGTGTGGAGATCTGCACTCAGCATGTGGAACAAGATGTGGATTTTCAACACCAACGTCAAGTCAGGTCTCCTGTATGGTTCAGAGACTTGGCGTGTTACGAAAGGCATTTCCAATGAACTACAGACATTCATCAACAACTGCTTACGCTCGCTACTGAAGATGGCCAGAATAATAAGTATAAGCAACAAGGAGCTCTGGAGACGAACCAACCAAGAACCTATCGCTCAACAATATGCGGAAGAAGGAAGTGGAGATGGATTGGGCATACACTGGGAAAGCTGACTGGGGACAACACGCGTCAGGCCAGGCCTTCAAGTGGAATCCCCATGGGAAGCGACGAGTTGGGCGTCCGAGGTGAGGGTGACATTGAGGAGATCGTGTGAGGAAGAAATGAGAGCTTGTGGGCAGTCGTGTTGACAGGTTCGAAAGATTTCAGAGAAGAGAGTGAAATGGAGACGTGCAACTGAAGCCCTATGTTCCACTAGGAACCCAAGGGACTAATAATAATAAAATAATACGTGGAAATGTTTCTCAGTATTATATTACATTGCAATTAGTTTAATTGGTTTTCACTCCATAAATGGCTTTTCTGACAATGTTGGTGAGTACTTAGTAGTTGATCTACGAATATCGTTGTGGTTACTTCTGGCTATCCAAACTACTTTTAGAATCATATGATTATGATTATTTAGATTTTGTTACATTAGATAAATGAATATTTTATGCTGAAAGATACAAAGAAAGCAGAAAAACTTCATTTTTATATTTTGATATCTATTCAAATCAATTATCTTCGTTCCCCTTATAATCGGTATCGCTATAATAATGGCCATTACTTATAACTACCCTTACATGTGATGCCTATGTAATTAGCGCATTGTGCATTCTTGGTACACTATTATTTAATAATTGAAGATAGTCTAAAATTAACGATCATACTACGATACACAGTAGTAGGAAGAAGTAGAAAATATCTTTGTTTTCACGATTATACATACCTTTTACTCCCGTAGATAGTTGAATAAATATGGGCTTCGGTTATTTTGTGGAGAATGTGTCTGTTTAATTGTTTCTTCATAATCCCATAAATCTTATATATAAGCAACGTGATCATTCATTCATTTCTTCTACTTTAACACTTGTATCAGTGATAATCTTTGTTATGAAAGAAATGTAGAACATTAATATTTAAAGGATTAGAAAAAAATTCATCGGTGATATAAACGATTTGTTATTGAATTTTCCGACAAATGATGCCTCCCGAATTGCATCTTTCGGGGATGAATTTGCACTAGCCTAGTGATTACTCTATATTAGTCGGTCATTAGAGTATCAGCAATATCATTTTATGGGGACTTGAATGCTGACTTTATTCTGTCATTAGTTTTAGCTTTGTTTAATCTAACTAGGTCACTCAGTATCATCGTCCACTTAGATATTAGTTTGTTGTAAGCAACTTGCAAGTAGATTTGAACCTAGTGGAGAATATTTGTAGCTCAGGTGGATGGTCTTGGTTGTATTGTGTTCTCTTAGCTGGATTGTTTAATCGATTAAACAACCCAGCTCAAGAACACAATGTAACCAAGATTTGAGCCTACTTTTCTTACTAAGTGGTACTTGTCAGCAAGTTATGGCTACAACCGGTAATTCGGTGATATTGCATTTCACCATAGAACCAGTTATTAGGATTCCATTGAGTTTGCAGATTTCCTTTCCTGATGAATGCTAACATGCAGGAAACCTAGGGAGAGAGTTTCCTATCATTTGTCTTCTAACAATAAAATATTAGTGATTTCGTTTACTCACATTGTGTTTGTTCTTTACCATGAATTAAGAATTGCTTTGACTAAACGTTTTTCAAATCCATATTTATACCCACCTTGGACATTCAGTCATATAAATTTTATAAATGATCTGGAAACTTGTTTTATGAATAGGTTGACAATCATAATTTCTTGTCAGTAACTGCGGCTAATCACTGTCTTATGAAGTAAACTAATGCGCTATCGTGCATCAGTGGGTACGATATTCGAGTCTTAATGCGAACAACATTACTCATCGGGGTGCAGATACATCCATTTGACAAGTGAGTCCCAAATAGGGCGAAACGCGCGTCCTGGATTCCTCTGCTAGCAGCAGCCGAGTACATTACAATAATAGATATTCAGGCAATATACAGGCCTCTGCATAGGAGTCCAAATGCCGTCAGAAGTCGAACAATTCGATACAGTCTAACAACAGAGAATTACAAGTATATTAACAAATAGTAGTAAACTAATGGCTCATGATTGTAATATTGAAGTCGAGACTGATGTTCAAACGTCTGACAGCAAAAGCGGCAAATTTTGAAATGATGGGACAGATCTTTATCTCAGGTTGTTAGTGGTTTGGTATTCTCTAGGCTTTGGAAGTGGATGATTCATCATAAAGGAACTTCTGTGTGAAGTTAGTGCTGAGAGTGTCCTAAACCTGGCGATAAATCATTCGCGATAAAATATCAAATCTAAAAAACACCGAACCCCATCAAACAACAGATTGATATTTCAAACGCAAACAGGAAGTGAACTCTATCTTTAGTGATTAGCCTTGTTTTTATTCAATTTAAACATTATTTGGCGATTGAATGTTTATTTTCAAACGTTCGTAAATGCCTACTAGTGACATGAAATGTTAAACATATATTCAGTCTTACGGATTTATTAGCACCCAGTAAACTTCATTATCTGTCATAGTTAAGTTAAAAGACTCATTGAAAAAAACATCTACTGTAATGAGGAAAGATGTTACGTAGATGGAGTGCACCGTGATAC